GGGTTGATGAACTTTATATTAGGTTTGTCCAATCCAACTGATTAATCGACTAAAACTTGCAATCGACTACTTTTTTGTGGTCAATCACTCTGAGCCCCTTTTGTAAATTGCTACCACCACATCCTGCCTCCCGAAGCTGGGAAACCCCCCTTAAAGCCACGCCCGGTGTGACTCAACTGATCACCACCCATCAGCAGCACACGTGGGAATATAGGCGGTTTCGTGCTACCTGATTAGTCGAGTAACAGAACCGATTATCCATTACTTGAAACATCGGATAACCCAGCTCTTGTCCAGCCTCTAAAAGTCACAGAGCAAAGCAAGGTCTTTTGATATTTTTATGGCCAGGCTTCAGTGCGAGCGCAATGGTGGTAGCGGTGGCGATGGGTGTGCCGGCGACGGCGGTGGTGGTGGTGGTGGCGGCGGCGGTGATGGTGGCAACTGTGGTGGACCATTGGTGGACCATGCAAAAGTGGCAGTGCATGAGCCACCCAACCTCCAGCTAGTCGGTAGTACAGCAAGTCGGTCTGTGCTTTTCTCCCACACTCACCACAAAATAAATGTACTTTATAAGTCATTCTTGACATAAAATACATTTATACCTGTGAAAAAATAGCACCGAGCCCCAAGCAAGAACCCTGATGGATAAAGGAGTTTTGAGACTCAGCGTGGCTTTTCCAAATTAATTTTCGTCGAAAAAGGGAACACGTCTGAGTGCACGTCCGCTCCGGAAATGGATCGATGAAATCCGCTCACGTTGCAAGGAGCCGTACGGATTGCTGTGCCGCAAAAGCACGAGTGATGGCGACTGTTTACACAGGCCTTCATTCGGTATTGGATAGATAATGGCTGATGATGATAGGGCATTATTTCATGACGGTAGGTTTCACCAAAAGAGGGTTGGTTCGGAGGAACAGTCGTTAAGTCGAGCGCTAGGATTACGAGCTGGCAGTTTTTCATTACAGGAATTATTGTCGCAGGCTTTGCGAGTGAAATGAAAAATCAATCAACAGCAGCTGATTACAGAGTTCGTTTTGCGATATTGTGAGGTCGCTCCACAGCTTCCAAGGCGATTAAACGTGGAAAATATTTGGCCAGAACCAGGTCACCGACACAAGGCCCACACTGAACAGCACGCCACACAGCACACGTGAGTCTAAACGTTATAAAAGGTGAAGGTGCAGCCCTGCACTTGCTTGCTTGCACCGATGTTATCGGAAGGGACCTCTACTTGAGGGAGTGATATAAAGTCCCTGTGGGCCAGGGTATGATGACCCACCGGGGTCACACTCTTGCAAATAAGACATCCTGGGTCTCCTGAGTTGTCACACGGTTAAAGAAAAATTAACTTTGGCTCCACTTTCAATTACTCTTCCATGCTGACAAAGACTTCTCGGAAGAGCTGTGAGTACCCACGCTTTACCACACCGCAAGGGCCCTGGCCGAGCGAGTGACCGCGGTGTACCAGTGGATACCACTGGGTGGACTCAGGCGGTGGTTGGCAGAGTTGGGTGGCGGGGGGGGAGATTTAAGAAATCTTCCCAAAATAACGCACCAGGCACAAAAAAAATCGGCGTTGGGTATTTTTTTTGTTATGGTTTTATTATTACTATTATAGTTTTTCAAAAAAAGTATGACATTTCTGTTCAAATAAAGCAAAACTCTTATATCCACACACGTCCCTGGTAAATAGTTGGTAAATAATTTATTTATGTTTACTACCGAGCAATAACTGAGTTCTAAATTGTACCATGTTATATAATTAACTTGCCTTCCGCTGGCAATAAATAACGCAAGGTCGCCAATTGCCAAGCATAAATAACGGCGGTGTTACAAATCCAAAAAAATGAGATCATCCCGTGGCCGGCGCCGATGTGAAGTCGCGTGTACACCGAGGAGGACCGTGGTAGTGCTTAAATACCGATCGCCAGGCTGGGAGAAACGTTGCAAAATGTGCGTTCCGCGCGCGTGCCACGGTGAAATGTACAATCCACGAGAGAACGAGACGCCGCAGAGATTCTGAAGGGTGCTGAGCAGACGGCGCTGGTACATGGTACCATCGCGAAGCTATTCAATTATAGCAGTCTACATAACCGAGTGCAATTGATCAAAATTCGCATGTCTAGATATATGTTTCTTTATATAATATATCGTCGTAGTAATAAATAATAATAAAGATTTAAAAACGAAACGGTAATGTAAAAAAGTGATCGTTCCAAAACGCTTGCGGTGCCGCCGCCGCTGCTGTTTTAAGGTTTTGGCAGGAAGAAAGTCCCCGAGCCACGGACCGCGCTCGCAGCACGAGGCTGGGGGGAATCCTTCGGATCATCGGTGCCCCCCCCAACCCCGACGGGGGGAACTCCTGTCGCTCCACAGTTAAGGCGCGGAGAAATGTCTCCGAGTCTGTCGTGAACCGCCCGGCACGGTGCCAGCCACGGCGGCTGTAGGGGATTCGGGGGCACCGTCCACGTCTCACGTCTTGGCACGTGCCGCCCCTCCCCCGCCCGCTCTTCAGCTTGTGGGGGTCTCGAGTCTCGAGCCGGGGGGGGGGGTCACCCCGTGATTGCGTGCGCAGCGGACTCTCGGTTCGGGGCTCAACGCGACGACGAGCCCCGAGGGCTCGCGACACCTTTCGTAGTTTTCTGTTTGTTTAACACAATTGGCTCTTTGTGTTTGTGTCCCAGCTGCGCGGAGAGGAATGGGTTACTTTCGCTCTGTCGTGCCTGGCTGGCTGTGTGCGTGTAAGGTTGCGCGTGTGTGTATGCGCTACGGTTGTCACCTCTTTCGGAAGAGAAGCGGAATATCTCACGGTCTCGGAAGGAAGGAGAGCTACTCGCGAGGTGAGTGGTGTTGTAATGTTGTTGTTATCCAACTGATAAAAAAACCTGGGAAGACTCGCAGATTTCCCAGGAGAGGAACATGAACACGAGGACGATCGCAGGGAAAAGCCAGGGGCAGGTGGTGTCACGCTTGCATGGTCAGGCTTAGCGCACTGCACTACCCATTTTGACAGCACAGGTTAGATTGTATGCCACGCACGTCGTTGTCAGCAAGTCGCAGCTTCACTGTTTGATTAAGTCACACAGGACAATCAAACCTGACTCAGCCTAACACGAATCTCCAGCGGTGTGGTTGCTGTGATGGACACCAGCAACTGGGGAGACAAAGGTGGCCAGGCATGAGCGGTGCAGAATGAAACCTTCTTCATAATAGCACGCGGAGCCTGGCCCTTACAGGGTGCTTGCTGGCAGCACCTCTCCTCCCAGCAATCGATAAGGCAAAGTGGGGGGTGGGAGGGTGGAAACTTTGCCTCTGCCAGGTTGCCACGTGTCTGTTGCGTGATGTCTTCCGCAATAAATAGATACATACCTAACTTCAAGGAGTACTCGTTTTTGTCCTTTTTTTACACTTTGGTTTTCCTCAGCTTTACGTTTCTCTATTTATTTTGTGAATGTTTCATTCTGTTCGCCTAGGTTTTTCTTTTATTTTTACGTTTTAAATTTAAGATCTTGTAGAGGCACACAGAAAAACGAGGGCCTTTCAATAAGTAAAAACAATACTTTTATGAATTCTGGGATTTAGATTATTTTTTGTTGAAATATAAATCGTCGAGGGTCATGACCATAATATTACGTGGAGATTATATTTTCCTTCAGAATTTGTAGATGTCGCCGTGATTTGTAAAGCTGTCACCATATTACAGCAGTGGGGATGCACGACTGCAAATCCAGGGTTGGTGGATCACACAAATATTGAGGAACTCCGTTGCCATGGGCATTGGGGTGCCATACCTTGGCTTGCCAGGCGACAACAACAGCGTGGCCTTCCACCAAAACTAAACTATTAATTTTACCAGGTAAGGCCCACTGAGCTTATAGCTCTTTTTTCAGAAGCGACCTGGCCACAAATGATAGCTCAACAAAGTGGCTTATGTGGACATTTATAGCAAACGCATGTTGCTTCTAAATGTGGGAGGGAAAAACCAAAGGACCTGGAGAAACATCCACGCGACCACGGGGAGAGACACGCAAACTCCAAATATACAGGCGTCAGGGTCGGGATCGAACCCACGACCTCCTGTATACCAGGCGAGGTAGTTAACATCTCCTAGCCAACGCGGCACTCCTAGATAGAGTGCTGATACCCCCTCGCACAGGTGGGGTTTCTCTTGGTGCTCTGGTTTTCCTGCCACATGTAAGCACCCATTAATTATCTGAAAACATCTTCGTATATAGAGGACCGCAGAACTTGGGCAATTGATGGCACAAGCCAACCGGCCCGGCTGCTTTCCTGATTGTCTGCGGTTCCTTGTGCCTCTGAGTCGTTCGCTCTCTTCGCAAGGGAGCGAATTCTGTGCGGCGCATTACAAATATGAATTACTATCGTTTATTTTGTGATGAACTTCACTTGCCCTTCACACCCTCAAAGGAAAAATACATTAATGCGAATCTCAGATTTCCTAATGTGCACGTGTGCAAGGGGATAAATGATCGCATAGCACATGCTGTCTCGCTGCAAAATGTAGCAAATAAATATCGCGCATGAGTAACAGGTTAATTTGCCCATTAACTACAAATTCCTTTGACTAAAATCATACTTAAACAGGTTACATAGGCATTATTGAGCGTCTGGACTTGATGGGGAGAAAAATAGTTGCAGAAAACATATTTTAACACAGGTCCACTTTGCAAGACAGATTCTGCTCAATTCGTGTCTTGGAAAATGCTAATTTCATCCTGATTTTGGTTGAAAAAGCACCATTTTATCAAGAAAATACCACGACTTATTTTTTTATTTTTTTACTCAAAACTGGGCAAACGAAAAAATCCTTTCTCTACTCATCAAGGCTCGTTGTGTTCCGGCACACCATGAGTAGGCTCGATCGGCACAGGGTGGACTCCATGAGATGACTTTGGCACCGTCAAGATGCGCCCAGTCAATGTGACAAACGCCAATTTTTTTCCACCGTTCAGCTCGGGAGGATTCGCCGATGGCTATTTCCAAGGCGCGAGCCGAACCGTGCTGCTGACACGTCACGTGTAACGGAAGGGCCGAGACGCGCGCCGGTGGCGGCTCAGTGGACGCCACATCCTCGCAGGGTACCGTTTCGACGTCACGCGCAAATGAGCGTGACGTCGTGAGCCCCGGCCCCCTTGGCCCTGCTTGGCCTCCCCCCCACCCTACCCCCCCCCCCGAGCCAGATTCCGGTGTCGTATCGTGTGAGGCCAGCGTAGACACGGTTTGTTTTTTTGCTGTTCGGAATGGCAAATAGCCAGCGGAAACCACACCATACCGTGACGGCCCGGTGCTGGTTTGGCTTGGAATGTGCCCGTGGGAAAAAGGGGGTACAAATGATGTTGCCAGGGCAGCAGATGGACATAACCCGGAGTGAGGAAATATAATGAACAACCTGGACCAGACTCATGATTACCTGACACCAGGAGTGCACAACTCCAGTGCTTGTGGGCCACAACCCCTGCAGGCTGTACAGATAGTGCAGAATATCCCACTGCTTCATAGCTGCGGGCGATGAATAAGGTCTGAACAAATTATATCGTCAATTAAGGGCTCGAGCCAATGAGAGCTCGGTTGGAACGGAAACCTAGAAACGTAGATTTTTTTTGCCTGCTCCGCGGAACCGGAGTTGTGCTCCCCTTGCTTCACACGGATTTAAAACCTCGATGTCCTGAGAGCCCACGCCACGAGTGGACAGTTCCCGTCCATGTAACCCATTTCAATTTAATACGGTTACAATTTGTCACTGGAAACTGCGCCGCGTCCACTCTCCCGTTTTGCCTCGACCGCCGTGACTGTACACGCTACGTGCACATCCCATTTGTGAATCCAAGGCTGGATAAGGACCTCCCCACACCGTGCGGGTCGTGGGGGAGGGGGGTGGGGGGGTTATTTGAGCATACTTCGCCACGCTAATCAACGCGCGTTGGTGAAGAGCGGAAAGCGTAGAAGTACAGTGCAACGATGGACTTTTGCTGCGCTGCCCTCTGCTGCCCATGACGACGCCGCCCCGTATCCTCCAAGCGACCTGCTATGCACGGCGGTCACCCCTCTGAAGCGCTGCCCAGGCTCAACCCTGGCTTGGCTTTCGAGACCTGACGAGACTGGGCACGTTCCGGGCGATGTGATCATTGCGGGGGGTGGGGGAGGGCGCTCGCAATCTCACCCTGCGAGCAAAATCCACGCGAAAGCGCCGTGAGCATCTTCTGGCTGGGGGGAAGGGGGGGGGGGGGGTCATGAATTTTAACGCAAAGCTGTTCACGGCTCGACGTTAACCCAGCCCACCGGCCACCTGGCAGGAGCGGTCGCGTGCGCCGGGGGTGGGGAGGAGTAAGAGAGGGATTTCATTTTTGGTTTCATGGCTAACGGTGAAGAAAATCTCATGGCCTGGAGCTTTGTGAGTCTGGGCGTAGCAGCAACCGAAGTGTGCGTGGCTCTGTCCCGACGATTAGGAGGGTCCTGCCGTACGTAAGCACGGACGCGCCGCAGAGTCCGGCACGCCGCTGCCGCATTGCCTACATCACTCAAATAGCACCTTGGTTAGCGTCCGTAAGAAATGTCTGTCCCCAGTCTTCGCCCGACGCAGAAATCGAAGCTGTTCATCTTTGTTGCCTTCTCCGTGGACAAAAAGGGAAAGGCGACATCCGTTGCCGTCCGTCCGGTGGAGGGATCACTCCGAGATGAATTGCCGCCGCTGCGGCAAAAGTCGCCATCGCTCCTTCAGAACAGTCCCATGTCGACCTTGAGCTCTCTCGCGTCCAAAGGCCGGAATGTTCTTCCTCTACCGATGCGCGTTCCCGGCTGCGCCGTGTGTCGTTCGGCACAACGCCCCGCGGCGTTTCAGCTCCATGCGTCGGTAGCTCCCTTGAAGCTCCCAGCGGGTGGTAGAGAAACGTCGGAAGGTCGCGCCGAACGACACTCGGTACAAAACGAAAACGCGTCGGGGAGCTGTGCAGGACGAACCGCGAGAACCCAGGCGGTCGTGATTGTATCCCTCGCTGCCACTCCTGTAACTCTGATCGTAGCCACCAACAAAACTAGAACTTTGTCCCCATGTATCCGACATTAAACATCATCCCCAACCGTAACCCCAAACGTAACATAATTTATCGCGCACAAATTATATTAATTGCATTGTTATTTAACTCATACTGCCTCCGGCAATCCATGGCACTACGAGGAAATGCCCGGATGACCCTTTAAGATCTCCTCTTAACGATAACACGGGCACCCTAACGCCAATGCGATAACCCTGACCCGAATACCTCATACAAAATCGTTATATGTAATACAAATTCTTACACTCCAACGCACTGTGATCATAGTGCTAAAACGTCAAGCCTAAACAATGATACCCTAATCGGTGGCGTAACGTAATTGGCACGAGCCCCATAGCAAGGTACGAAATGGGGCCACTCCCTGTCCAAATTAAATTTCCTCGCCTTCTTTGCAGCCCAGCACCTGGGCCACTCCAGGCCGTGGGCCCCGGTACAGTTTCACCGCCTGCACACTCGATAGCTACGCCACGGACCCCAACCCTTACACAATAACCCTGACTTTTACACACCAGGACCCTAACCCTAACACGGTAACCGTAGCAGGGAGACCGACGCCGATCCTAACAAAAAAGTCCCTGACGCTAAGGCGGCGACCCTAAAGCGCTGACCCCCTTTGAGCCTAACACAGTCATGTGGGCTCTCTTCATTTCTCAGAGCTTCATTTCGGCCGGGTCCGTCCGGGAAAATATCCAGTGAGAAATTAAGCCCTGCCTTAGTCGTCCCCCTGATGTCTTGGCGCTCTCCCGCCACGAGTTTCGTTTTTACCAACAGTCGTTCTGTCTCGCTGCCACTGTCGACCCGTGCATAACAACAACAACAAACGGACGAGACCTCTGCGGCGGTGGCGGTGTATTGACGCTCGCACCGTGGCGCCGCCTCCACACCTCGACCCATCGCCGGGCTCGCGTCCCAATCACCGCAATCCGCCGTAGAGGCAAAGGACAGCCGGACCCCCTAGTGGGAGGTCACGCAGGTCGGGTCGTCGGTCGACCCGGCGTGCCCGCGACGCCACGCCCACGGCTACCGCGGCTGCAGGTGGCCGCGGCGCTTGGGCATCTGGGTGCTTTCGGGCTGGCCGGTGTCGGAGAACGACGCGAAGAAGTGCTCCATCTCCCGCTGGAGGACGCGGTTGCGCGCCTCGGCGTCCTGACGGGCGCGCTCCGCGTTGCGCTGCCGGATCTCGGCCATGCGGTGCCGCGCGCGCTCCTGCTCCAGCTCCTCGGAGAGGCGCTCAGCTCGCCGGCAGGCGTCCACGCCGCTCGCCTCCAGGCTGCGACGCGGAACGGGCACCGCGGGCACGCACACGCGCAGAGACAGAGGCACCCCGCTTAGAGCCTCGCCAGACTGTTGGGTGCGCTGTTAGCGAGCGCCCGTGAAGGGCGACGCGGCACACGAGGGGGTGGGTGGCCAGCACCACGCCCCGGCCGTCTGTCTGTCCCCCGGTGGTGATGTCTCCACACCGCACCAGGTAATCGTTTACGGGTGTGACTTAGGGGAGGCCCGGGACCGGTTCAGATATTTGTCACTGATGTCGGCCGTGAGTGTCAAATGCAATTCGGGTTTGCCAATGCAATTCGGGTTTTCCAATGTACTAAACTCCCGCTCCCCACATCAACACACACACGCATGTGCGTGCACACACACGCATACACGCACAATTTTACATCTAAATCTATCCCGGTAGCAGCTGGTCCTGTCAGTTGTGCATCCAATTCCCAACAACAACAACAAAACCGTTGCCAACAACAGCACTACCTTTTTATCCTCTGCTCGTACTCGGCCTTCTGTCGACTCAACTCCATCTTGAGCTCCACGACGAGCTCCTGCATAGCTTCGTGGTGCGACCCGTCGGGATCGCACCCCAGCGGCCCCGCCCCGCCCGGCCCGGCTCCCCCGCAGGGGCCGCCCGCCAGCGCCAGCGGCTGCGGCGCCAGCGGCAGCGGCGGCAGCAGCGCCGGCTCGTTGATGCGGCTCGTGGTGGTGGTGGTGACGCTGCTCCGCACGCACACCTCTACCCGCTCCACCAGGCCCTCTAGCTGCGCGGGGGCGCCCCGCGGCTCTGCGCGCCCTCCCCGCAGCTCGCCGTAGCCGCAGTCGCGAAAGGAGCACGCCGGCGTGGAGCCGCACGCGGAAGCCGCGACGTCGCCCAGCGAGATCTCGCACGACGAGCTGGACCACGTCGCACCGCTGTCCACGCTGCGCTGCTCCTCCGAGTTGCCGGCCGACGGGCTCTCGGCCGGCACGTTGTCGTACGTGGAAATCCTCTGCAGCGTGGCCGAGCCGCCCACGCCACCGCCGACGCAGCCGGCGCCGACGCCGCCGCGGCACCCGCTGGCCCGCTCGGGCCCCGGGGGCCTGCGGTTGTGCTCGCGGATTGTGGCGTAGCCGTTGGCGGCCCAGAGGCGAGACGAGCACTCCAGCGTGTCGGACGCGGCGCCCCGCGACGTCGTCGGCGGCGGCGGCAGCGGCACGGGGCCGAACCGCGGGCCACCCGTCCTCGGCGAGCCGGCCTTGCGGCCGCCGGTCGGGGGGCAGCCGGGCCCGGCGCGGTACGGCGCCTCGCCGCGGCCGTCGACGGCCCCGCCGAGCGAGCCGTTCGCGACCGCACCCTTGCCGAAAAGCGCGGCCGTGCCCTTTCGCGCGGCCGCGGCTCGCGGGCTCCCGAGCGGGTCGGCCACCGCCGGCAACGGGCGGCACCCCGCCCCGCCCCCGGAGCGGCCGCGGAAGATGACGGCGGCGCCCAGCTCGGAGCCGCTGGTGCACGTGTCGGACTCGGAGAGCGGCAGGGCCCCCCACGCGGAGGGGCGGCCGACCCCGGCCAGCGGCCCACATGACGCTGTGCCCCCCCCGCCGGAGAGAAGCAGCGGCGGGCCCTTGCAGGCGTCCTTGCGCAGGCCTTCGGGGCGGCCCAGGCTGCCCGGGGGCAGGCGGGACGCGTGGGCGTCGACGCACGGCCGCAGGAAGAGGCGGTGCTGCTCAGCAATGAACACCTCCATGAGCTGCTGGATCAGGGGGGCTCCTGTGGTGTGGAGTGGCGGGGCGGGGAGGGCGGTCGTTAGCTTGATGTGCGACAGACGTTTACTGTTGTGATTTATGAAGCGACATTGAAAAATGATTTAGATTCTTGCAAAAACTGTGGGTTGAATGCAACTGTCTCTCGTTCCTGGTTTGCCGTGGTGCATGCCTTTAAGGCGTTGACTTGAGAGCAGAGTAGTGACATTATTGACCAGTAAAGATTCAGACGGATGCATTCGGAAAAATTACGCTCGCAATTAAATGCTAAAGATGTATTCATAATTCTTGGTTCTTTCGGTAAAGTCACGTAGAAGGGAACAATAAAATAATAAAAATCTAAAACAATAAAATTCTCACGACGTTTCGACATCAGGTGTGAAAACCACAGCTGAGGTTTTCACACCTGATGATGATTGCTTGTGTTGCAGTCGTGACTTGACTTTACCGAAAGAACCAAGAATATGAATCCCTGCAGTCACGAAAGCTTTAAATCAAAACAAATTATTCATAAGTCAAAGGGGGGGGGGGGGTTCGGAGGAGTGTTGGCGCAATGGTTAATGCACTGCGCTCGGTAACTCCTGTCCCTTCACCAACCCACACTGACCATACCTCACCACACTAACCAGTGTGGTGAGGTATGGTCAGTCTCCAGGACCAACATGGAATGGGGAGGCCTTCAGTCAGCAATATATTGACACGGTAACGTAACATTATTAAGATGGCTGATAATGTCATATCCCCGCGCCTCATTTGTGGAAGATGTAATGAATCTCGGTGGTAAGTTAAGAAATGAAATGAACCGAAGAGCCTCCACTGTAAAACGATCATCCGGCGACCACCCGCTGCGACGATGGTAACATTTGTCCCAGTCTAGTACAGGCGGGAACATTGCTTGGACAAACCGACAAGCTCATCCCCTTCCCCCAACAGCCATCACCACCACCACCGCCACCCCCTCGAGCCAATTACACACTCGGAAACGATCTCACCGCTCACAAGTCGGAGCAAGGTGAGCACTGATCGTCACGTATGTTCCCACGCCCCACGCTGGCTTCGTCTTTTTTTCAGGTTTGTTTGTTTCTTTCACCCATGGCGTAAATACGGAACGTTCGTCAAGCGCCATATTATGTCGCAAGATCCGCGATTAAAATTTGTAAATTTTAAACGTCAAATTTTTGTTTGTTTGTTACGCTATTTCATACGCGCAGCTCGCATCTTTTGTTCCGAATGTTTTTTTTTTAGCCGGGGGGTCGGGGGGGTTCTTTTGAGAGAGCCACGGAAATCTGGCGCAGGCTATAAATAGGAGTCAAAGCAACACGCCGGCGTGCATTTGTACCTCCAGCAGGGAAGGAGCCGGTGAGTCATTGTGGTTATTTCTCATGCAGCTGCAGATACCCCGCAATTATTTTCAAGCCTTTAGCGGAAGATATAAATGCTCGAAACGAGTCTCGCAAGCAAACCTCTCTTGAACTGATGGGCATAGGGAGAGAATAAAAAAGAAAATGAAAACAACGATTTGGAGCTGTGTCTGCTGCATATATTACGGTGCGGCAGTCATCACCGGCCGTGATATATCCACTGCTGGATGAAGGCTACCCCAAGCCGGCACCATTCCTCTCACGGCTTCGCGATGCGATGATCCTCGCTCCATCTCCGCGGTGTCTTGTTTACTTCTGGCTCCTAATAAAGGAAGCCACTAGAGCTATGTACTTTTAAATCTCGATTGAAAACGAATTTCTTCAGAACTGCTTTGTGCGTTCAGTTTGTTGTCCTTCCCCTGCACCTCCGATTAGCACGGTTGGCTACGTACGGTGTGAAGGAATTTTAACATACATACATACAACATACACGTCAACATACAGTCAGTTCTGCTATAACGCATGTTTTCAAAACGCGAATTGGATATAACGTGATTTAGTGAACAGAATTACGTTTACTTTTGGCTTGGTGTGTGTCTCGCTCGGTGTGTCTCTCTCTGCATGTGTGTCTGCCTATTCTGTTCCCGTGTCTGTGTTTTATCATTCATTCTTACCTGATGATGGTTGCTTGTGTTGCAACCGAAACGTCGTATTCTATTATTATTTGATTTTATTTTCTACGTGACTTTACCGAAAGAACCAAAGAGAATTACGCCTCAGTCTTTGTTCGGCCTACATATGCATCTCAACGTGTTATCATGGACTGTGCTTTACCCTTTTTATATATATTATTTATTTCAACGCAACTTTTCCACAACAGACTGGACATACATACACACGCTCCATCGGTCGTGTCAAGCACTGACCGTCATCCTTCTCAGTGTCGTGTCCTGACCGAGCCCATGGTCAAACGTGCACTCTCCATGTCCATGCTTCTTTTGCACATTTTTCAGCACCGGGTTAAGAGCATTTACTATCCATACTGTCTATGGGGTTGAGGCAGCGAGCTGTTCACCAGCTGTTTAACGAACCATACGTTGACTCAATTCGCAGCCACGGCGAACATCGGTGGCGAGTGACATCTGTGAATTGGTCCTGGCCACCTTGCCACCAAGTCGAGTAGACCAGCGTAGCAAAATATCATCAAACAACCCACCACGATGGACACGGGATAGGGGGGCCTTGGAGTTGGCGGGGTGGGGGGGGGTGGCGGCGGTAAGACTCGATGGGGGGGGGGGGGCGGCAGTGGGAGTCACACGGGCCCTCATCAAAAAGACGATTGCGCGTCACGGAGGACAAGGACGCACCTTCCATGATGGAGGCCGGATCTTCTGTCTTGGGCCGCAGGATGTTGGGCCCGAAAACCGTGGCCAGGTTCTGGACGCTCATCTTGTTGACGACCGAGTGGGATTGCACCTCGTCCAGGAAGCTGCACGCGGGCCGCGCCGGCGGCGAGAAGAGAGGGCGCACGCTCGATCACGCGATGTCGGGCACGGCCACCAGGGCACGAAAACGGCAAGACCCCCGGTCCACGAACCTTGGAGCCGTCGTCATCGAGAGCGCAGCCCCAAAGTCTCGTCTTTAGCTCAATCACGGTTGCTCAGCACGGTATGTATGTATAACTCATTCCGCACCGTACGTGGCCAATCGTGCTAATCGGAGGTATGGGGGAAAGACAACAAACTAAACACAAAAAGCAGTTCGAAAGAAACGAGTTTTCAATCTAGATGATTTAAAAGTGCATCGCTCCAGTGGCTTCCTGATATCGGACGGAAGAGCGTTCCAGATGGCCGCAGAAGCGAACCTGAAAGCGTGCGATGCGGTGACCGTCTTTGTTCGATGGCCAGCAAAAAGCCGCTGCGACCCATCACGACTGGACATCTGTGAAAAAGAGCTTCATAGCTCTCCAAGATAAATAAACATTCTGATTTTGTCTCGTGACTCAGCACCGATCAAATTATTTCAATAATGTACAGTAATCCCTTGCCAACCGCGAGGGTTAGGTTCCTGAAAACCCTCGTGGTTGGCAAATCTGCGGTTAGTAAAGTACAGGGGGCCTATGGGAAATAAGGGTTAGGGAAACCACGGGCACGGTCAGACTCATTATAGCTTAAATAACTTGCTTGTTTATTAAATAAACACCGAATATAGCACATCACACAATAACATGATAAAACATAAATAAACGTGATATTAACTTTACATACCTTTAATATTGACGATGGTAATGACGGTAACAATGAGATGACGGGGAAAGGGGTAGTGAGCAGGAGGAGGGGCTCAGCCCACCCTCCCCCTCTTCCTCCAGGCCACAGACACAACACTCGCACCACTCGCTGCACGCTTCGGGCCCACGATTAAGGGCAAAATGAATGTGGACTATACAGAAAGTACAACAAAACAGACGGGCAGCTGATCAGCTAAGCAGCGCCACGACATTTGTAACGATGGCGTCACGCAATGCGGTGATGTGACGCTGTAATGCCGTTACGTGTCAACTAAGTCGTGCGGTTTCCTCAACGCCGTGCTTACCCGTGGATACTCAAATTTCCAGGCTGCGGTTGTTAAGTTGGTACACTGCACATTTATTTCGTGAGACGGAGCGTGAATCGGACCCATTGCGGAGGTAGCAACGTGGAGAAGAGGGAGAGGATTTGGCGGTAGCTGCAGGCCCAGAGGTTGCCTCGCGTCTCGCGAGAGGCCGCGAGACAACGTGGCGGATGCTACGCGGCGGAGATAATTTTTATTTCACGACTTTGGGCGCGACGACTCTTAAATCGAGATGCTCGCGGTCTGTAGACAGAAGTAAATCCGCGTGTACTCAAATCTCAAGGTTGGCAAGGGATTACCGTAAAGCAACAACAAAATAGGCAAAGCACACTCCCCCCGTGCCAATGTTTGGCTGCGGTAGGCACCTGCAGATGTAGCGCAGGAGGCTGTAGTTTGCAGGAGGCAGCACCTGCAAGCGGCACGACAGCTCCAGAAATCCCTGCGGCAAACGCAAATCGCACGACGGGGGTCCAGGGGTCAGCATCTATAAATATTTACATATATATTTTATTTACCACTTCCTTACCTCAGGAAAGCCTCACGACTCTTTATAAGGAGGGTCATACCAGGTTTTCAAAATAGCGGGTGATGTTGCCATGTGCAATCGCAATCGAGTAGCTCACAGGTCATTTCAGCACTGGGATCTGGTTATGGCCACGGCACTGTGTGTATTTTACCAGCTAAGGCCCACTGAGCTCTATGGCTCTTTTTCAGAAGCGGCCTGACCACATATGATGATCGCTCAACAAAGTGGCTTATCACGTGGATATTTATAGCAGCCAAATACTCTAAATGCACGTTGATTCTAAATTTGGAGGGGAAAACTCAGAAGACCTGGAGAAAAATCCACGCAACCGCGGGGAGAACACGCAAACTCCAAATACACAGCAGGCGTCAGGGTCGGGACTGAACCCACGACCTCCTGCATACCAGGTGAGGGAGATAACGTCTCGCCCATACTTCAACACGCTGGTCAGTGTGGGCTGATAAACACGAGTAGTACAGCATAGAAGTATGGTATAACAATGAATGTTGCTGCATCGCCCCAATTAAACACACTTTCACTTCGCTATGGGAGTGAAACAGAGAACCCGGAGGAAACCCATGCAGAGCAGCAGAGAGAAAAAAACAAACCCGGCACGGAAGAGGGCCCCGAGTCGGGAATCGAACCCGGGCACCTTCTGCTGTGAGGCGCGGGTGTTGTTGTGTCATTGCGCCGGCCCGGCTCGAGGGCTGTCGACGGGTGATGAGCACCGGTGGCCTCACCACTGATTTTTTTCACTCGGGAAACGCGAATCGCCGACGATGCGGTTGTGATACCCCGGAAGGGGGCGGGGTGGTTGGCACCACGTCGCTGCGGGCGCTGCCACCTGCCTGTCCTCACCTGCTCGGGCTTGGCGTTGAGCAGCTTGGCGCACGCCAGGAAGTCGGCGTAGGCGGAGAAGGGCACCACGGGTTCGGGCAGCTCGCGCAGGTACAGCTTGAGCAGCGACGCCACCGTGTGCACGTCCGTGCTCCTGCGCACGCACGCACGCGCACAGACCAAGATTCCCACCCGCTGTAGCCTTCCAACAGGGGGCAAGTGGTGCCCGTGAGCGAGTAGCGCGAGTCGCGGTAACGAGAGTGCAGGGCACAGGGTGGTGCCTTGACCCCGCTCCCTGGTGGCCAAAGTTAACAGTTGGGGCCCCCTTTGACAATCAGCGTGAGATATGTTTTCAACAACAATTTCAAAGAAGAGAAACTACGGTAATTTAAAACGCGGTTTAAATGTATTATCGTGAAAATACTTTAATCTACGCTCCACGTTTTATTTTAGTTTAATATCAGCGGCTATGTAATATTGCTAAGGAGCTGTAGTGGCTGCATTTTGCGAAGATGGAGCGCCCCTGCAGTGTCAAATGTTCGAGACCGTGAGTGTCACGGTCATGTGACTAGGCAAGAGGAGCCGCGATCTTGAATTGCTTCTAGGTGCGACCGTGCGAGACAAAGCAAATGTTGGGGCCCCACCTGACCGATTGCCACACCCCCTGAGCTGATAATGTGGTAATTACTGGCGAAACGTCGTACTCAGATTGTAAATGTTGTGGCTTGGCTCTCCAACACACCGGTGTGCTGTACTAGTGACGAATTGGCACGTTCTGTTTACGTGACAACCCTTACTAGTTGGCTGTGTCGGGTGGTGGCGGATTTGAACAACACATTTATATATTTACGCGATCTAACCCAAAAACCTCTATTATGAATTGATCTATATTCTTGGTTCTGTCGGTAAAGTCACGTAGAAGGGAAACAATAAAATAATAAAAATATAAAACAATATTGTGTGATATATTTTTTTATTTTTTTATTGTTTCCCTTCTACGTGACTTTACCGAAAGAACCAAGAATATGAATCCCTGCAGTCACGAAATCTTTAAATCAAAATGTATTAATTGCTCGTTTAGGTCATCTTCGTCATCGTCTTCATTATAGACCATAATCCATTGCAGGTTCTTGTGATGCAGAAAATCATTGAGCAAATGTCGCACGAGCTGAATTTATTGCCCTGTCTCCGAGATGGAAAGTCCCCTCAGGCGCGTTGCCTCCTTCGGCTGCCACTCTGCCATTAATCTCGACCCGCCGGCTATCTTCCCTTCTCGCCGTGATGTGTCCCTGCCCAAGTCCACTCTGATCAACAGCTAATTTAAAGTATCCAACGCGAGTGCGTCCTCCGACCCATGTGTTTGCTCTGCCTGTCTCTCACATGCAATTCCAAGCATGCATTTATCCATGCTTCTTGGCACACTTTTCAGCTCTCACAGGATCTGTTATCTTTGTCAAAGTCCATATATTTGATCCATGTCACTGCAAACATGAAAACAGATACATCAAATTGTGTGTGTAGGAATGATTAACCTCTTAACATATTTATATTTAGTTTACTGTATCGCTATACATTCTAGAGAGTCAGAGCAATATAGACTCCAGAATCAACACGTCAACAAAAATAAGATTATGAATCAAATTGTGACACTGAGTTGTGATTATCTGTCGAATCTCAGAGGGGGCAACTTTCTCAGCCTGTCTCTATAAAATAAATGTGCCCGCTGCTTCTGTACAGTCTCTTGAGGTCCTGTCACATATAGACGAGATATGCATCCACATTGTGATCATATATTGTATTACACTATCACACCATCAGCTGTGATACACGACCAAGAGGACAGGAATGCCAACATTGGCAACAGCAGCTGCAGTAGAAATAATAACAGTAGTCCACAGGAGCTTGTGGGTTCGATCCTGGACCCTGACGATGCCCGTTGTATATTTGGAGCATGCGTGTTCTCTCTCCCCGTGGTGGTCACATGGATATTTCTCCAGGTCCTCCGGTTTTGCCCTCCACATCTAGAAATAGCGCGCATTTAGAATGTCTGCCGCTATAAATCCCCACGTGTGATGATGATTTCAGCCACTCCGATGAACTATCATCACGTGTGGCCAGGTCGCCTCTGAAAAAGAGTCAACAGCTCAGTGGGCTTTACCTGGTTTAAAAAAAATAATTCAGCGAAAATATATTTTACCAGGTAAGGCCCACTGAGCTATATAGCTCTTTTTCAGAAGTGACCTGGCCACAAACGATAGCTCAACGAAGTGGCTTATCGCGTGTGTACCGAGGGGAGGTCGTGAACATCCCGCTACCGTGGCGCACCCCCCAGCTGACCCGTCAAAGCTGGGCCTCTCTCCGCAGTCGAAGGCCCGCTGAAGGTCGCGCACGAGGCTGGCCTGACCCGGCATGCGGAAGAGGCCCTCCTCGGCGAGGCCGCGCTCGCGGATGAAGCTCACGCACTGCTGCACGACACGCGGCGCGGGAGGCAGGCCCGCCAGGGCGCCCGGTGGCACGGTGGCGTGGCCGCAGTGCTGCCGCTCCCAGCGCACCGTCTCCTCCAGACGCTGGCCGAACACGCCTGTGTGCGTGAGTGCGTGAGGTGAGAGACAAGTGGGGAGCGGTAGTGTGGAAGCGGTTAGCGCGCTGCGCTTCGAACCTGGCGACCCGAGTTCGAATTCCCGCTCACGGCCAACACCGGCGACGATCATCTGAACCGGTTCTGGGGCCTCCCCTAGGTAGACTCAGCCTCAAATGAGCACCTGGTGCGATGTGTTAACATCGCCACTTGGAAGACAAAGTCGGCTGGGCGTGGTGTTGACCACCCACCCCCTCGTGTGCCATGCCGGCCTTCACAGGTGCTGCTCGCTAACAGCTTGTTAAGGCTTTACGGGGGATCTGAGTCTTTGGTGAGAGACACGTGGGGGGCGTGTTCGGAATGCGCAGCAGGTTGATTTTGTCTAACCAGGCGAGAACTTGAGGGAGCAAAAAATAATAATAAAGTCCAGGCGATGAAGCGAATAGAAACCACAGCCGCAGAGGGGTGAGTGTGCGAGTCGTGATGCACAACCACGCACGTGGGAGACACAAGGGGAGCAGTGACAAATGGCTTATCCACGTGATAAGCCACTTCGTTGAGCTATCATTTGTGGCCAGGTCGCCTCTGAAACATTCTGGCCTGCCCCTACTGGATATCTGTGAAAGAGAGCTTTATAGCTCATCGGATTCCTCCAGTATAAATAAATATTCTGATTCCATGAGCGCGGTTTGCCTGGTTTCACAACCCCTGAACATCGGCAACGAGGAGGGTCACCACCTGTCCTAGTTTTCCCAGGACTCTCGTCTTGTTCAGGAAGCAGCAGCTGCTGCCATGGGAAATCTGTAAATCTTCCCGGGAAATCAAAAGTCCCGAGTTTTGTTCAGTTTCAAAATAATAACAACACATCGCTCCACACAACACATCACTCCACACAATTTGTCTCCGTGTACGATAGTTCTTTCTCACTGTGTGTGGGCAGAGAGAGAGAGCATGTGAGTGAGTGTGTGTGCCCATGACACATGGGGATATGGGGGATACCCAGGGGCCATGTGTGTGTGTACGCAGCATGAGGTGAGTGCGGTTAGGCATGAATCACGATGCACGTGCATTGTGTGATGGATGCAATAACACAATAATAACACACAAGCCTAATAGTGGAGGAGAGTTGGGGATTGCCGTGGTTAGCACACTGCATTATTACACTATGATTCATAATTAAGTTTATTTAGGGTTGGATCATGTAAGGTATAATGTAAATGTGTTATGGTAACTCTCCATCACCCGACGGAGCCAATCGAATCAAGCTGTCAGGGCATGGCCGAGCGTGCCGATTGATTTCTGCAAACCCGGAGGAATGTTTAAAAGGGAAGCAAAAAGCTCAGTGAAAGCTGAGGTATTGTTAAACACCTTGGTTTAATCTCCAGCAAAACGTCACGTAGAATGTTTCTAAATGTTGCTTGCTTTTTACCATTCCTGCTTTTTACCATTCCTGCATTCCTGCTTTTTACCATTGCTGATAAAACGAAATAAATTGATCGACACGTGTGCCCATGATGTGACAACTTGGTTTCAATGGCTCTGTCGGGTGGTGGAGGGTTATTGTAAAAAATAAAACGGACATTCCCACATGCTCGAACCCAAAGTAAGTTAATAACATAATACAGTAAGTCCCCGCTGAACACGTTGGTGTTCATACAGCGCCTTATCATTCTAACACGGTTCTTCTATTCGGGAACACTTTGGGACAACGCGGTCTCACGCGTCGTTATTAAGCAGTTTCTGATCAGTCGACGACAAACTCCTTTCTTGAGCTGTGTGGCTGAGCTGTATGATGCAGTACGCAGAATCCATGCATGTGCAGTGTAATAACGTGGGCTGCTGACGGGGAAGTGGTACTGCACTGGCAGCAGGGGTCAGTACACACGTCAGCAGAGGGAGATCTCAGGGGAAGCACATGAAGGGGTCGATCTGGAAGCCCGAGAACCTGCTAGTAGGTTATAGAAAGAGGGCGTGGCGGGGGCGGAGCGAGGCCACGCCAGGAGAATAAAAGGTCGATCGGGACAGGAGCTCGGGGCTGTTTGCTGCAAGTGGATCCCCTCGCTGTGTCGCAGTTCGTCACCTTCGTCGCCGCCGTCTCGACCACCTGAGATGCCGCTAGCTAGACAACTTGACGACTGTTCCAGCGAGGTCGTGCCGTCAGAGAGACGGATGTGTGGACTAGCGTGTAGGCACGCGGGGTCCTTGTGGTTTCCCGACGTGGAGAATAAAAGAAGGTGCGTTAAGAATCCTGTCTCCGACTGAGTCACTACACGTGTATGTGTGTTAAACTTCTTTCGCACCATACGTAGCTAACCGTGCTAATCGGAGGTGTGGGGGAAGTACAACAAACTTAACACATGAAGCAGTTCTAAAGAAATTAGTTTTCAGTTTAGATGTAAAAGTACATAGCTCCAGTGGCTTCCTAATATCAGAAGGAAGAGCGCTCCAGATGGCCGCAGGAGCGCATCTGAAAGCGTGCGATGTGGTGACCATCTTTGTTCGTTAGCTACGGTGATGTCGCGAGTGACGGAGGGGTGAGGCACGGGTTGGGGGGCGACGCTCACCGCCGCCGAGCGGAGCCCAGATGACACGCCGCAGTGCACGCGCCCACTCCTCCATGTCGCTCTGCGAGCTCGCCATGAGCACGGTGCTCTCCGCGCTGCCGCCGGCACGTTCCCCGCCTGCACCACGCAGCGCACACACACGGCACACACACGCGGCACACACGATGCAAACCAACACAGTACCATCACACACTGCCCCCCCCCCCCCCAGAGTGCAATGGACCCCAATCACCTGCTTGTTAGTTTAACAAGTTGGCTTTCGCGACCAAAATTATTTGTAAAATAAAGTTTTTTTGCGGTTAGATCGCATAAATAAAAATCTGTAGTCAAACCCGCCACCACCACGGCACAGCCAAATAGTAAAGTTTGTCACGTAAACAAAACATGCCGATTAGTTACTAGTTCAGCACAACGGTGCGTTGGGGAGTAAACCCACAGTATTTACAATTTGAGTACTTTGACGTTTCGCTGGCGATTACAACCAGCTTCCTCAGGCGATTTGTCGGAAACAGGAAGACTTCTTCACAAATTATAGTAGTTACTGTATAGTCAAAGCAGTGATACGTATCACCTATTGCAGTCTACCATAGAGCTGGAATATAAAGGGTGAGAAATTAAACTCTGGCTACACAGATCGGTGTGTAGACAAAGATCCTTCACATAGCCCTAACAGACTGTTGGGGCTACACAGATCGGTGTGTAGACAAAGATCCTTCGCATAGCCTTTACAGACAGTTGGGGCTACACAGATCGGTGTGTAGACAACGATCCTTCGCATAGCCCTAACAGACTGTTGGGGCTACACAGATCGGAGTGTAGACAAAGATCCTTCGCATAGCCCTAACAGACTGTTGGAGCTACACAGATCGGTGTGTAGACAAAGATCCTTCACATAGCCCTAACAGACTGTTGGGGCTACACAGATCGGTGTGTAGACAAAGATCCTTCGCATAGCCTTTACAGACTGTTGGGGCTACACAGATCGGTGTGTAGACAACGATCCTTCGCATAGCCCTAACAGACTGTTGGGGCTACACAGATCGGAGTGTAGACAAAGATCCTTCGCATAGCCCTAACAGACTGTTGGAGCTACACAGATCGGTGTGTAGACAAAGATCCTTCGCATAGCCCTAACAGACTGTTGGAGCTACACAGATCGTGGTGTAGACAAAGATCCTTCACATAGCCCTAACAGACTGTTGGGGCTACACAGATCGGTGTGTAGACAAAGATCCTTCGCATAGCCCTAACAGACTGTTGGGGCTATTGCTATAAGCGAGCACCTATGAAGGAGGGCACTGCACATGAGAGGATGGGTGGGCAGCATCACGGCCGGCCGCCTTTGTCTCCCGAGTGGTAATATTTACACATTGCACCAGGTACTCATTTGAGGCTGAGGCGACCTAGGGGAGGCCCAGGACGAGTTCAGATAATCATCACCGGTGTTGGCTGTGAGCGGGAATCGGACTCGGATCGCCGGGTTCGTAGCGCAGCGCGCTAACTGCTACACTACCGCTCCCCACAAAAGACAAACATCCCCCCATATATCCTTCACGGACTGTTGGGGCAAGTGCTGTTAGCGAGCACCTATGAAGGCCGGAACGGCACACGAGGTGGTGGGTGTCCAGCAGCACGTCTCCCACACAGACACAGGGCCCCGCACAGAGACAGACGCACAGGCGAGTGCGTGCCCTAGCCGTGCACCGCACCTCGCGCCTCACCTGACAAGATCTCGAGCAGGTATTTGTTCGGGTCATCCGGGGTGGGGGGTCGCTCCAGTACGCGGCTCCCCGGCAGGAACAGGGAGCCCTGCCGCGGGAGGGGAGCGTGGGTGGGCGAGAGAAGGGAGAGACACAGAGCTGGAGGACCGGAGCTGGAGAGCAGTTGCAACTGTCTTGAGGCCCCGCGGTGGCGAGATGTTAACTACCTCGCCCGGCATGTAAGGAGGTCGTGGGTTCGATCCCGACCCTGACACCTGTAAATGTGGAGTTCGCGTGTCTCTCTCCCCGTAGTCACGTGGATTTTTCTCCGGGTCCTCCAGTTTTTCCCTCCCTCCACATTTAGAATCAACGTGCATTTAGATTATTTGGCTGCTATACATTTCCACGTGATAAGCCACTTCGTTGAGCTATCATTTGTGGCCAGGTGGCTTCTGAAGAAGAGCTATACAACTCAGTGGGCACTACCTGCTATAATAAAAAAAATTGTTTCGTTTATAGTTTAGCGCACCGTCCCCGGTTGGCCATGCATCGCCGCTGCCCTTACTGCCGCCGTGCCTGGGAAAGAGTCCCGGGACTCCCCGAGTGAACGGCATTGTGGGGGGGAGGCGGGGGAAACCCCCCGCCACGGCGAGGACTCCAGCGGTCTAGGGAGAAGGCCCAGCAGCTCCCACCCTGCTCAGGGCATCTCGGAAGCAGGGAAATAAACGCTGGCAAGACAGCAAACGGCCACATCCCAATGAATTAAGATACATTCGATAGATTAGATTTATTTCAGCAGGAAGGGCCCAATTAGCTGCTAGTGTCTATTACATGGTCGTTCTGCGATTGTACAGATGTTGTACAGATGATAATTAATTAATTAGTCGACCTATTTATATCCTTAAAGCCTCACGGAGTCCCAAGGCTAATCTTCAGGAGTGTTCCACAGTAGAGCCCTGTAATTAATGTAGCGTCATTAAAATATCTCCTCTCTGTTTATATTATTCCCTCTATCTGCCTTTCCCTTGCTCACAGCCAGGGGCACCTATAGCTCCGCATGTCTATCCTGGTCGCTTTGATGTCGCGTACATTCGCCGTTGTCTGTTCTCCCCTGCCTTTGTCTTTTAGCGTATAACAACAACAAAACAGCCAGCACTTAAAATATCAATACCAAAGGCGGTGGTATTATTGCGTGACAATTTGCGGGATCAGAATGACTTGGAATTGCCGTGTCAAAGGGCATTCGCCCAGTGCCATCTACATCGGCAGCAATTGTCGATCCACAGCTGGATGAGTGCCTCTGCACACACTGTTGGCCAACTCTTATGGTCTCAGTGCTGCCCGCCAACACCATCCATTTCACTCCCGCGTACACGAAACGAGTTGAGTTTGAATTTTATTTGATTTGTAACACAGATGATCCCATTTTATCCGGTTTCCCTGTGGATATGTTGCAAGGGAGATCCGTGGTGCGTGAGTACGAGCAGCCACAACAATAACAAAATACATCAATATTGAAGAGAACGCGTTACAAGGTCCTCAGGGAGTATTGCAGAACTAGCAAACGAGGTGTTTATCTGTCGTAAAACTAAAACACTACGCGAATCGGGGGAAAAAAAACCTGAAAATTATAGCATGATTAGCACGGTTAGCTACATACGGTGAGAAAGGAGTTCAACGCGCATACGTACATGACAGCGTAGGTGCTGGAAAAAAAAGGTTAGGTCGAGGTGCAAGTAAGCTCTACATTTAATATATCCCTCGCCACGGCGGCTATCTCCCTTGAACGCGTTTCCCTACTTTGCCTGCCATTCGGTCACCAGTCTCTTGATCAGTAACGGACGCACACAAGAAGCTGCGTTATTGCCTTCATTTGGCAATAGCCTGCTGAATAAAAGTGACGCGTGACTGAATAAACTTCGAATTTGTAATAAATGCCAAGATTCAGCTTGTGGATTTTTTTGTCTTGCAAATCTTTTTCAACCATAAAAAACGACATCCATTATAAAAATAAAAAAATGCTGCAATTGTTAAGTATTAGTCCAGATATTGGTCTTGAGGACATGCGCACTGCGACTAGCGCATCTTATCTTCACGTGGCTAACGGGCACGTGGCGATATAATTAAACGTCTGTGTTTAAAACGCTCATTTCATAGCTTTGTCTCCTTAAACAATATTTAATTATTGATTGTACTATTTTCTCTTTTGTCTTTTTTTACAAAACGTACGTGTTGAGAATTGCAGCTGTTTAGCGTAGCACTTAATCTAATCAATGTGCATGTTAACTTGACTTCAGAAGATGAAATCACATCGTGAGAGCAATGTCATTCATTAGGGAGCGTGATAAACTGGCCAAGGTGGCTCAGCGCTCGAGCAAGCAACCGGGAGGAGCAAGCAAGCAACCGGGAGGCTGCTTGCTGGATACGGGGGTTGGCTCGGTCTCATCATCCCTCCGTGGTCTATAAAATGAGTGCCACTTTGTTGGGAAAAGTCAACAGTGGTTGCCCGATGAATAGACTCGTCCCCCCCCCCCATATAAATGTGGAATTTATATCAAGTTCTAGCCTTGATATGAGGCTAGAACTTTGTTTTATCTTACCAGGTAAGACCCACTGAGAAATACAGCTCTTTTCAGAAGCGACCTGGCCACAAATGACAGCTTCAACAAAGTGGCTTATCATGTGGAAATGTATAGCAGTCAAATACTCTAAACGCATGCTTCTAAATGTGGAGGGAAAGACCAGAGGAGAGAAAGTCCACGTGACCACGGGGAGAGAGACATGTAAACTCCAAATATACAGGTGTCAGGTCTCCTGTACACCAGGCGAGGTAGTTAACATCTCGCCACCATGCAGATTGCTAGAATATTGTTCTTAACATCAGAATAATTGTATTTATTTCCATAACGTGAATTATAGAACGTTTTACCGTTACAATTTACAGCAAAATAAATAAGCAGACAATGTCTTCAAATATTTTTCTGTTTGCAGAACAAAAAAAGTACTTTTTTAATACAACCCATCAGGCACACAGCCTTCTGGCAGTGCACAAACTCAGCAGCATTGTTTCAAGACAAGCAAACTCTGGACCGGTTTCGTCACGCGGTGTCTCACCAGCAATCAGTCTTGCTCGATCGAATTCTGGGTGAACTGCCAATCTTACGGGCAAGGACTATCTTATCTTTACGCTATGGGGGTCCCAGGTCGGAGCAAAAAAAACTGATCCGTGTTTACACTCCAGCGAAATCCTTGAGATCTTCATATCGCCTTCTTCTAAGTATCCTTGCAGCGGATTTTGGCTCGCCATGAAACTCAGACGGACACCGCATCGCACGCTATCAGATGTGCTTCAATGGTTGTCTGGAGCGCTCTCCCTTCCGATATTCGGAAGCCACTGGAGCTATGCACTTTTAAATCTAGATTGAAAATGCATTCGTTTAGAACTGCTTTTTGTGTTTAGTTTGTTGTCCTTCCCCCGCACCTCCGACTAGTATGGTTGGCTACGCACGGTGCAAAAGAAGTTCGACATACATACATACATACTCCAAGGTCAAGGCTTATTTCCTTGGGTGATCGGGATTATTCGCGTTGCTAGTACAGCTCGTGGACTATGGAACAACGCGTTGCCTTTGCTAACAAGACAATCAGAGTCTTTAGAGATATTTAAGTCTATCTTGAGAACTCTCCTCTTTAAACTGGCCTCTAACACCCCCCCGCTCCCCAGGTTCTGTTTATTTCCTCCTTTCCATACACGGTGGCGCATTGGGACCTTCGGATTAAATGCGCCTTGCAAATGTCAATAATTATTATAACAACAAAAACATACCATTCACATAATAAAACCAATCCACAGCAGGCTGTTGTAGCACAAATTTACAATCGCAAACCCATTGGTGGGGTGGGTGCCACCTCTGTGGTCCATCCAGTCGACGGGAAATGCCCGAACTCGCCCAGCGCTGGGAAGGAAAGCTCACGGGACCGACGAAGCGCCTCCTGCTTGCTGCTGCCTTCACGCTGATAACCTTGATGAGCAACTTTGGGAGCCTCGGAGCCGGGAGTAACAATTATCCGAAGAGTCTGGCGAGAATATTAAGAGTCGTAAATTTGAGTTTAAATGTCGGCTTGTGAATTCACTGACACGCACCCAGACACTGGCACGCAGGGAACACTCGATACACGCGCGCACACGCACACAAAGACAAAGCCTTTCAAGGACGTGCAGTGAGTGCTGTGAGCGAATAGCAGCGCCTGAGAGGGGGCGAGTGGCCAGCACCACGCCCGGCCGCCTTTGTCTCACAAGCCTCAAATGAGCACCGCGCCAGGTACTCATTTGAGGCTGAGTTGACGAGATGTGCTCGCGTACTCACCCGTCCACAGGGACCAAAACTCCAACATCCAGCTTACCATCTCGCCAACATCAATAGCCCCCATTCGCCACTAGGTGGCAGTGACATCACCACGGTGCTTGTGCCAGGCTAGGTGTACCGTAAGGCAGTGACGAGTAGTAGTGTAGCAGTTAGCACACTGTGCTACGAACCCGGCGACCCGAGTTTGATTCCCGCTTACGGTCAATATCAGTGACGATCATCTGAACCAGTCTCGGTCCTCCTCTAGGTTGACTCAGCCTCAAATGAGTGCTTGGTACGGTGTGTAAAAAACATCGCCACTGGGGAGACAAAGGCGGCAGGGCATGGAGCTGGCCATTTACTCCCCTTGTGTGCCGTGCCAGCCTTTATAGATGCTCGCTAACAGCACTCGCCCCAACGGGCTGTAAAGGTTATACGGAAGATCTTTGCACCTTAAGTTCATGTCAAATGCGAAGGTTCGCTGCTGGCAGGATTGTCACGGAATCGACCTCGGTACCTACATAGGTTGCCTGACATGACTACCTGATGCACCGCCTGCGCTCCCCACTCTGCCACCTTACTGCGTTTTAGCCGCTCGGTGCTCCGCTCATTGTTGTGAGCGCCGCTCCACGGCCCTCCGCTGTTGTTGGAGGGTGACTCCTCCAACTGCCCAGTAGCCAGAACGTGCACCTATCCTAGCACTGCCCAGTAGCGTCCTTCACGAGTCTTATCCGCAGAGGCCGACCTTGACACGGCTGGTACC